TTCGCGCATATTGGACCACTTTGTCCTGTAACTCTGTCGTGGTTCTCCCCTTCTGTATTCTTTTTTAAACTTTATTGATAACCAAGTGACAAAGTATATACAAAATATACACATGCACATTAAATGAGACATGCAAAGCAATAAACAGAAATTACAGTTGCTGCCAATAGTTTTACAGTATCTTCACAACAGTAATACTTTCTACAGGGCTTTTATGACACATATTGTGTCTAATGTGTAGTTTACGGCCCAACTTTTAACTTTGTCTGCTCGTCGCGCTAGTTGTGCAACGACGCCATTTTACGTGCGCGGGCATGTGGCGATTAAACCGCTCGGTGATTATTCATCCGTTATGAACGATATCTACGATCGTAACGGTTATCAACGGTCGAGAATTTTTCGACCGATATCAACCGTCGAGAATTAACACGGTCGAAATAGACACGGTCGAAATAGACACGGTCGAAATAGACACGGTCGAGAATAGTCGATCGGGTCGACACGGTCGAGGATTATGTGTATTGTGTATTGTGGTATGTGTATTCACACTTATGTGATTGTGTATTCACACTTTGCGATGTGTATTGGGTGTGAATTACTATATGGCCTTTATCTTCCACACACTATAACATTACTCATCACGGGGGTGACACCTCCGAATCCAATGGATGTGTATTAATGAAACCGAGCTTATTTAATGTCTATCCCCCTTCCCACTTTTAATAAGGCCAAGAAGTAGCCCAATGTAGCCACACTACCTGTACTTTTTTTCCATCTGCCATAGGCCTATGTACTACTCTCTACTACTCTTTGTTCCTATTATCCAGTCATGTCAAGGTGGAAATAAATTAGCTCCTGTTCACCTTTGCTCTCACGAAAGTACCGTGCACAAGAAAACTTTTTCAAGCAAAAATAACGTGAACAATTTGTAAAAATTACTTCAAGATAACTATATATGTGTGGTATGTGTATTCACACTTATGCGACTGTGTATTGACACTTACGGGTGTGTATTGGGGTATGAATTACTATATGGCCTTTATCTTCCACACACTATACACTGTACACCGAGCTTTAATGTCTAGCGCCCCTCCTACTTTTAATAAGGCCAAGAAATGTCCGAATATCCTTAAATGCTACATACTTCCTTTTCCATCTGCCATAGGCCTCTGTACCACTCTTAGTGCCTTGTGGTCTCAAACATACCTCGCACGCAAGTACCATGGACAAGAAAACAGCCACAGAAAATATCAGCTTTTAAGTAAAGTCTTTATTGAAAAAATAACATGAACAATTTGTATGAATTACGTTTATATAAATATAAATAGAAATACATTTCATATACTCAGTTGCAGGCGGGAAGAGTGGCTGCCTTTCCCCCCTGATTTTGCACTGTTTTCTGATCAATCCTGCTTTCTTATAGCCAAGCTTGTTTGATACGCCACTCCAACAAACAAGCTTGGATACAGGAAAGAAACAGAGAGCGAATCAGAAAACTGCAAAATCAGGGGTGAGGGAAGGCAGCCACTCTTCCCGCCTGCACTGGTGGTCACCTTCATCAAAAACCTTTTCTGTTATAAATACTTTCCTCTCTATGGGAAGGTTCTACCTTTAACGTTTCAAGCCCCCTTTACTGCTGCAGCTTCCCCTACATCAACAATGCGTAGAAACCTACGAAACCCAACAATGAGAGGTCAACTATGCCTTAGGCCACACCAATTTAATTTCTTGGTCGTACCCCTTGCAGATCCTGCACTGATTTATATTAATAGCGGCCACCGAGCCAAAAACTGGGTACGGAGAAGACCGCTGTGACTGGAGAGGTGTGGACTGCCAGGAGCCCCTTCCTGCAGCCATTAATTCCCTGTTATTTCCTTGGTTGGAGGTGCCGGGGTAGCCGCCGAAAGCACGTGGAGGTACAAACGTACGGTAGTGAAGTAAGCCTTTGTCCTGGCCGGCCGGTCTCCTGGGCTCCGAATGAGGGTGAATGAGGAATCTCTTGTTTTGTTGTTCAACCGTAATCTAAATACTATACATTTTGTCCTTTATTCAGACACTCGTCACTATATTACTGGTAACGTGATACAGATTTACCGCATATGTCTAAATATCCTTTACCGTACGACCATTATGTTATCATTTATTCAAAAGAAGATGTCCATAAGTCACTCTGAAACCCAATCGTGTACTTTACTTTGACAAACACCATCACATATCACATATGCACGCATGCATAACTCCATGCCCCTGGGGTTGACTACATAATTTTTGCTACATGCTCAATAAATAAATTCATCCAACATCATGGTTTTCCAAATGGTTAAGAGTACAAACATTCCTTCATCAACAAACTTAAGCTTTCATACCGCCTCTATCCAACAATAATCCTTTATCCTATGCACTGATGTAACACATATTGTCATCGGCAATGGTGTAACACCAAAATAATCGTCAAAATTTAACGAAAACAACCAATGAGAAAACAAGAAAATAAATATCTCAAGAACCACCAAACCGATCAACCACAAGGCTTAACATTACGAATCTTTCTCTTTCCACAAATCAGGCTCACACACTCTTTGTAATACGATTATCCATCATAAATTATGACGTTAACAAAAACTTGCCAGCATTAACGGTGAACAAAATAGTCTTCACTCCACGCAGTTACCGAAGGGCGCATTCCAAGATCAAGAAGTCGTATTAAAGATAGCAATATTGTTGTGGCTCACACGGTCAAAGGTCTTACTATAATCCGTTGAAACAAGCGAACACAGTATTCCGGATTTGTCTCCTTATCGATGAATCGAGAAGAAGATCTTATCATTTTTAATTCTTCATTCAAATAATTTTTTGTCTTCTGGGCAGTCCCTAGCCCAGTGTCCCTTTCCCTGACAACTGAAACATTATCCTCTAGTCGCGGCCCTCCTCTACCACGGCCTCTGCCACGGCGCGGTTGGTAGTACGGCTGTGTACGCTGGAACTGGGTAGTCCCCGTACCCCCGTGTGGCGCCTTCCTCTATACGCGGAGGGCCCTGTCTGCGACTTTAATTTGCATGCAACTTTGCAAATGCAGCAATATCTTTAGAGATCTGTTTATCCAACTGTGATCATAATTGTTTCGCGTGTGGTGTAAACAGCTCCGATATAAGGTACTAAATAACCCATCCTGAGGCCTTTTGGGGTGTTCTGAAAAGTACATATTGCAGTTAAGTATGGACTTTGAATTTTTGTCACAAAGTGTCTTGTTGCAAGATGATAATTCATGCAAAATTTTCTGACGTCACGATGAATTCCCGTGCCTTTTGATGATTCTCGCTTCTGGCCTGCGTCACCAGCGTCTGGAGTAGTGACACTGCCCGTTGTGGCTCAAACGCTGCCCACGCTCTTCGCGCATACTGGACCACTTCGTCCTGTAACTCCGCCGTGGTCCTCCCCTTCTGTATTCTGCTCACCGTCTCCTTCATCTCCTCCAGCTCTTTCCTCAACGTCATCAACTCCTAATGCATGCAAAAAAACAAAACACCAATCCTTCTTTACCATGTGCATTGACTTCGAGTACTTCGTCTCCCATATGCTCATCTTGAATCATACGCCCCGCGTGTTCCGATTCCAAAAGTATAACACATGCCCCGCATGAGTGTTAAATTATCATATGCCACGCGTATGACACATGCCCCGCATTTGGTCAGATAAATGGCCATTGACAGAAATTTTGCAATATAAAGCATTATCATATAGCCGGGTGACGTTGACCAATCAGAAGGCTCCATTCCACATTCTTTATGTCGCCGTAATGTCACAAATAGAGTCAAAATCGGGTATTTATTCATCCCAATCCATACATTAAACAAAATGAATAATCACCCGCATATGACCTCAGGTGACCCAATAGAACAGGGCTCTACTTCTTAAAAATCCAAAAATAACTTGTTGTGTTCCGATGACCTCGGGTGACTCCCATAAGAACACCTGTTCCCTGCCTGTTACCCAGATAGAAGGCCATAGAACGTGAACCCCCCCAGTGACCTCAGGTGACTCCAGATGGAACAAATATTCTATGTTCTATTCAGCATGTGCAAGGGGTAAATTGTACATTGTGTCACTCTTCACTGCATCAGTTTGGATAGGCTATCGTGTAAGCTATATGATAATAGCGTTAATGGCCCGCCCTTTCTCTGTGAATATGGTGTGATAAAGCCTTGTCAGTTGCTATAACCACCTCATAAAGCCACCTCGTTCGCTGCACTCACTTGGTGGCTTTATTCGGTGGTTATAGCAACTGACACTCCGAGGGGGACTTGCTTAGGTGAGTACAAGTTGATGATAAGCACATCAGAGCGATTTGTTTATTCTTGTGATAGGCTTTAATATGATTAGAGTATTTTTTGAACAAACATTGGAAGTCTCTGGTATTACATGGTTTTTCGTCACATTTAATTGCGACTTCGTTCTTGACCGGTCTACTCTTTGAGATGCTTTATTTATCAAAGCAATTTTGTCTGCTTTTTCTGGGCATGTTGAATGGCTTCTTCCCCAGAATCAGTGGCAGAGCAAGTTCTTTTGTTGGTATGAACCTTTCATTCCGCATATCAGATAGCGCTTAAACGCCTGGCGCTAGAACGTACAATTTTGGTGACTTTTACTATGATGTATCTGGGAACAATTTCAAATTAATAAGATAAGTTAATAGATTTTCGTTTTGCCATGTCAACGGGTTTGTGACAGGCTGTTTTTAGACAATTTTGGTTTAAATATTAAAATTGTCTGGGTTTTGTATTTGATTACACTTCCTTTCTAACATTAATTATGATTATATATTACTAGTATTTTATAATTAGGTATTCATTATTTATGCTCATTTGATGACGAAATCATAGGTCTGGTGTAAGAGAGAGATGTTTGATGTGCCTTAATCCAGCACAGTAAAATGGATAGCCCTATTTGATGAGGAGCCGCATGCCCTTTTCCCACCATAATCGGCCTATTTAATTCTGCGCAATTCAACGTACAGCGTTATTAGCGCATTTTGCGTAGAGCATAATTTGCCGTTTTAATTCTATGTACAATTAAAACGTTTATTTCAGTTTGAGTACGCGATTCGGATCGGCCTTGTTTTTTTATGGAATGTTTCGCATTGTGAATTTTTAAAGAAATATTCGGGGAGGGTTGATGTGTAGTATATAAGCAAATTGTGTCATGACGTAGAGGTATACGGCCACAAACTCCGCCATGAGAGGCTCCATAGAGCACTAAACAGTCAGAGTGTGAGTTTCTGCTGCACACGAACTATGAAAAGGAAATACCTGGCGTTGAGGACGCTCAGGGGTGTGACCAGCTTCATGCTCTGAAGAAAAAGGCCCTCTCTTCTTCAGGACAATGACGATTGCCGCTACTAGGCAGAGGATGACGAGCAGCAAAGGGATACCTACGGCCAAGCCGACTACTGTTGTCCGCGGTAGCTGATAAGTCGACACGACCTTCGTTGAAAATGTCACACAGTGGTCCAGTCCAGGTTTTCTAAGCTCATCCTTGCAAAGAACGGCCACACATGCTTGGTAAGGCGTATTGGGAAGAAGGTCCAATATTGCAAAGTTACGGCCATTGTGGTGAATGTCTTGTGTATCCATCCACGACTGCTGCCCAAAGATTTGGTACTGAATGACGAATCCTGACAGGTCCACATTTGCAGCTTTACCGGCGTGAAACCATGTGATTTCAGCACGAGAGTCCTGTACGTTTTGCACGGCGATGGCCTTTGGGGCGGAGCAGGTTCCAGGCTGTCTTCTTGTTGTAAGAGAGGGTGGAAGCTGTGTTGTTGCTGTCGGTGTTGTCACAAGGCGAGGAGATGTCACCACTTCAGTCGTAAGAGATGTCGGGCTGTGCAGAAGATGAAGTAGCGAGAGAGTGTATTTAGAGAGAGACAACAAAATTGAAAGGAGACACGCATCGTCACTCAACTATAGTCTAGATTCCTTACATTTATATATCATCTTCACAATATATTTGCCTTCCGAGCTTTTATTGGTATCTTATTCTTTCATTGTCAACTCCGGCAATGCTCGAAGTTGCTAAGGAAACTTGTAGGCTGAAGTAATCCCTCAATCATGTGACAAACATTGCTCTTTTGATTTGAAGTTTTCTCTTTAGTGACAACAAATTAGAGATTACAAAATTACTCCCCTGTGACTTCGTGGTTTATACTTCATACGTTCCTGGCGACCCCATCCTTGAACCCAGTATATACCGGGTCACAACCCTGTCAATCAATTCAGAATCCAAATTCACATCAGTGGAACCCAAACATACAAACCTAGCATGAATTAACGCCACTCATAACAATACTTCCGTCCCGAAGTAAGAAAGGACACCTTAAAGTACACTGATGAACACTTACCAGGTCTGCACAGTAGATTCTGTGGGTGGGGGTAGGTTGTGGTTGGGCACGTCATCTGCAAGTCTTCCTCTTGAAGGTTGCTGAGAAGAACTCCCCTCCTCCGCGGATTGTAGATATAGCAGACCACTGGCTGTGACGATCGGCCATGTCGCCGAGCATCCACAGCTGCATACAAAAGAAACATGAGATGCAGTTAAACTGTTGCCTTGGCGAAGGTTGCTTAGTAGTAATGTTTTTTAACTGTTGCTTGATTTGACTTATTTTTTTATTTTATTTATTGCAACAATGCAATACACGCAGAACAGAGGCAACTGTTGATGGTGTTGTGTCCCGCATATAGAAACGAATACTGGGCAGACAATACTCATTTTCACCTGAGTCTAGTGGGGAAAGTCGTGTAAAGTGCACAAGATCAGTGGTATGTCAGGACTCGAACCCGGGACCTCTTGATTCCGAGTCGCACACGCTGCCGTTGTGCCACACGACCCCTTTGATTTAACTTGGTATATACGAACGCGTATTCCTTTTTTTAAGTGTTCAATGGACAAGAAAACAATCATCGACACAGAGGTTTGCATCAAACTGTGCATGTGCAGTTCAAGCAGAGAACAAGCTTATTGAAGAGCAAAAACAATAGGTTAGTACATAAAAAAATGTACCTGTTCTATTCAGCCATTTCTCTAGATCAAGTATGTCACAATCGCAGATAAGATCGTTCCCAAAAGTACCGTCTGGAGGCAGGGTAGATGGCGAAACACACCTGTAGGGAACACACAAAAACAATTATGCAAGAACAGGCATCGCCAAGAGTAAAGCATTAGAGAATGGTAAGACGTATAATAATAATAATTGCAGCCATTGCTGAAATACATGGACTGTTTACAATATTTCTAACTACGACATCATATCAGCATAAGTAAGTAAAATATTAAGATTAAAATGTGGGTTGGTGTCGAAATAGGTTTAAAACATTGCATAAATCTACATTCGTTGATAAAGTTTGCGTAGGTACTAGAGTAGATTAAAAGCGTTACATAGATCTATATAAGTATAAAACATTAGGCGTTGAATAGTGGATGTATTATTAGATAAAAAGCACGTAGATAAAAGTATTTACACAATTTTAGCAGTTTGGCAAGCAATTTGGCAAAGTACAACGTTACTTCTGTGTCGTTCTCTCTCTCTCTCACACTATATATATATATATAGCGAGAGACAGAGAGAGAAAGATATATATATATATATATATATATATA